AATATTTAAGAGAAATCAGAAGGAAAATAACAAAAAGATAAAAAGGTAAGAATAAAATAAAAAAAGAAAAAAAGAGAAGAAAAAAAAAACAAACAAGGATAAGTGAAACAAACAATAATACTTCAAACTCAAATAGTGTAGAGAAAATAGATAAGAATATAAGGAATCTTAGTCTAGAATTTATAATAGCAAGGAATAGTATGTTAAGGAAAATTGTAGAAAGGTTTAAAAGTTTATAGGTTTAAGCAGCAAGCATGATAGGCTGTGGCATCCTTCTATTGAAATATCTTTAGATACTTGCATAAGAAGACCAAAGGTATAGAGGTCAAAGGTCACTATAGCAAATTGTACTTAAGTACTAAAGTAGTAACTAAATGAGTTAATACTTAATAATAATCACTAGATAGTAGAATATACTAGATAGAGTTTTTAGTCATAGACAAAAATTGATTAAATAAAGTATTAGCATGATTGCTAAAAAAAAAAAAAAAAAAATATGTAAAAATTTAAATTATCACATTTTAATTCAAATATATCAGATTGGTATATTATACTTAATAAGATTACTAATATTATATTTACTAGCTATTATATTAATAGTTATTTTAGTATATATATTTATATTATAATATAATAGAAATAATAAAGATACAGTCACATCTCTCTAAATACATCATATTGGAACTATAATGAAAAAAATTAAAATTTTATAAAGAATAAAATACATAGGGTTTTTATAAGTTAGAGCCAAACTATATTGTATTTTTAGAGAGATTTTACATAGTAATTGTACTTAGAAGGTGTGCACTTCGAGGGTGTGACTGTACTAGTAATAATAAAATTTAAAATATAAGGTGGAGTCAATAGAAAAAGAACCAATTGTGATTATAAAATCATTGAAATATCCATACTGTATAAGCATTTTTACTAATTATGCATTAAAAACTTTAGTCAAAAACCACGTTCAATATGCCATAATTAATTATTTAAAATCTATAAAAGTATATCACTCGTAAAAGGATTCTCTAGAGAAAAAATTCATTTATAATATTAACTTCACTTTAAAAAATGGATTTATTTATTTAGGCTAAATCATGCATATCGCATCGTCCAGTACGAACACACCATAATGGCTGTAATGGTTCGGCTCGTATACCTCGTTCGACCATCCGAAATCTCCAATCATTCAATCTTTTTAACACATCTTTATCAGGTGTTCGTCTATTCCCATTAACATCTTCAGGGCCGGACCATAATATTTCTGCAGCTGCAGAAGAACGTGGCCATAGTTGTTGTTCATAGTTTGTAGGATCTGATTGTTCAGACCATAAAAGTACTTCACCTAGTTAATTGACGGGATTAAAAAATAAAAGTTTAGGTAAAATAGTTTGTGATATTAGCTTATAATCAAAAAAATTGACTTTCACCAAAAAATACCTCCAATAACAAATTTAGCCTCTTCATCTGATAACTCATTTATAGGATTATACGAATATATCTTTTGCCATGTTTTATACGGATCACACCTAAATTAAATCCATAAAATCAAAATTAATTCATTAAAGAATTATTTTTTAAGATTTTAATTTTTATTGTTTCTTCTTTAGTTGTTATACTTACCAACTTACTCCCGAAGGTTTATTACCAAGCCATCCTCCATATCCGCAATCCAAATACCAGTAATCTCCACTGCCAGTTACAACTCTATATCCTTTCTCCACCACCTCTTTCACCGTCATATGATTTTTCCACACCTGGACTATTGTATCTTTCGGTAACTCTAGATTGTGTTCCGTAATCATTTCTTGCCACGTTATTGGTATCTTCCCTTCGTTTTTTATTATCGAATAGAGATTAGTTATAAATTTATCTATTAAGGATTTTTCATTAAGTGATTTCCAGCACTTCAGGTTTACTTCATCACCGCCAGCATGATAGAATTTGTCAGTAAAGTAGGAAGATATTTCAGGAATCAATTCATTAAGGAAAGTATAGGTTTCGGGTAGAGCAGGATTCAATTGGCCACTCGGCGGTTCAGCACTATACTTTTTGAGTTAACGCAATTTTTTGGTAATAATTAATTAGTTATAAAATGTTTCCAGCAGTGAATCCTTCTTTTACATTAGACCATACATTATAATTAAATCGAATTTATAACTACCTGATTCCACTCCGGATACTCATCTATGCACGTCATACTAATTTGAAAAGATAAAATATGATTATTTTTAATCACCAAAACTCATATAATATTAAAAAATTGTAATATAATGTCAACATACATTTCTGGCTTGCTTGCAGCTATAGCATGAGTATGTCCTGGCATATCAAACTCTGGTATAACTCTGATTCCTCTCTACAATTAATAATAATAAACGTTAGTTATAGCATGATTAAAATTTAAAATTATCAATAAAGATCTTAATACATCTCAGCGTATCAATGCAATGTAATGGAATTGGGCTTCTATTTAAATATTTCGAATTTGAAAATTAATATATTGCAGAAAGTATTCGTATTTTTTAATATATATAAACAAAATAAAAAGTCCAATTCCGCCAATCATAAAAATAATTGTTAGATACTTGTAAAATAATACTAGATATTGATTGCATAATTTTCTAAGTTTAAAAGTATAATAAATTATTGATTATCCTACACTATAATTGAATAAACTCAATCACAAAATGCATTGTCAAACAAATTCTTTAATCTCAATCATAAAACTTACCGTTCTAGCATATTCATCAACGATCCTAATATCTCTTTTTGTATAAATCATTTTCTTAGAGTCATATGCTCCTTTCTCACTCAACTCTGGATACTTTTCACTAACTACCGGCCAACTAGTAGCATCCACTATATGCCAATGAAATACATTCATTTTATTCCAACTCATAACATCTAATTTCTCTTAAATATTTATTTTATTATAGTATCTAAACTAGATTTCTTTGTATATCAGCTTGATCCAGAAGTTCTAAAATATGTATCAAAATCTTAAAGTAGACTTTTTTGTACCTATTATTTTTTTTACTTTTTCTGTATTGCTTTTGTTTAGAATCTCTTATAGCTATTCTATGCTTTATATTTGCTTTTTTTCTCTAGTTGTCTTTTGAATAGCTTGCTTTTTCTTTTAAAAGTTTTAACTTTCTTTCTTTTTTTTGTTGTTTTGTATCATTATTCAAATTTCTTCACTTATTTTTTTGAAAGCTTCCTATACTTTATCACCTCAGATAATGTGTTCATTTAACTTTGGTTCTTTGAAGCATCTTTACATATTAATTTGCAATCTAATAAATATATTAAATATTTATATATTTATATAATATATTTATAAAAAATTAAGTTTATTTTTAATTATATCTTTTTTAAAAAAAACTCAAAGTAATTAATTATTTTTAAAAAAATTAAAAAACTAAAACTTTTTAATATATTTATTAATTAGCTAATTAAAATTATATATCTTTTTGTATTATTATATAAATATCTTAGTATAACCTTAATATAGTAATATATATTTTAATATATTCAAAGTTTTTTTAAATATATTTAATATTTAAATATCTAAATATTCAAAATATCAAGTTTGCTACAAACTTTTTTCTATACATCAATTTATATACAAAACAAAAACTAAGAAAAGGAAAAAAGTTACAAAAAACTACTAACAAAATTATATTTTTACAATAAATAACTAGTTGTAACAAGACTATATCATCTTCATTACAAAACAATAACAATAAAGAAAAGAAGAAATCAAAACACTGTAACTATAAAACTTGTAACTTCTATTAGAAAGTTGCTGACTATATCAGCAACTCACTCTCATGACAATACTATTCCTAGTTTCCATATTACTTTCTTAACTGAAGATAACTCAAATGATGACTAGTATAATAATGAATATCAAAAAAAGAAAAAAAGAGAAGAAAACAAGAAACAAAGTAATAATGAAACCAATACTTTTGAAAATAAAAACACAAATATCGTTAAAGAAAAAAATTAAAAAAGTAAGCAATCTAGTTTACCTCTAACAAATACAACAACAGCATGTGACTAGCCAAAAAAAACAACAAACTGAATTGGAATATATACTTAATATAGATTCTACAGATAAATTTTCTAATTTAGAAACAGAGCAGGCTAAAGTACAACAAACTATAACCGTACCCTATGATTTATTACTAAACACAAATCTAATTATGAATAGTGAATCAACAAAAACTATCACAGATATTTCTACACTCCACAAAGCTATAGTCAAGCTCTAATAGGAATACAAGAATTAAGGAGGACTCCCCATTCTGATTTAACTAGACTTATAGATGACTGGATACAGCAAACTCGCCAAGCCCTAGTAGCTCTTAAGAATTAACTATTTGACAAATAACATTGGAATAATCAAGAAATCATAGATGCCTTCTCAAGTTTTACAAAATTAAAGAATTAGTTCAACATAAGTTGCAAACAAAACCAACAGAAAATTCTATTCTACCTACAATCAATACAAAATTATGTTACCAAGACAGAGCTTTTTTCTGGTTCTTTACTAAATGACAAGATACTCATCCTTCTCATCAAATAGAATATCAACAACTATTAACAACTACAATTAAGAGATATAAACAATAGCATAATATATTTATAATTAATAACAATAACAAAGAACAAATCTCAAACATGCTATAAAAAAAGATAGCAATAGACTTATGAACTAATAAAGAATTTTTACTGCTTAATGCTCATGAAATTACTCAATGTATTCTATATATTATAGGGTTTATAAAAATATCAATGAAACAAGATTTCAAGTTTCTCAAAGAGAAAATTCGCAAACTACAACTTGCTTAGCTACTAAACTTACTATCTACACTAAATGAAATTACAGAGGAGATCAGAACAGGCTTATTATTCTTATTACTAATTGCAAACTAAAAGAATATACGTACAGTAGTAGCAGCACTTTGCTATATCTATACCTTTGAATATCTACTAGATGCCTATATTTCTGATACTAGAATACAACTACCTGCATATCCATACTTGTTAAATTCTAAAACTAGAGATATATTTCTAATTACTTCCTATGCAGAGCTCAAAAACTTAAGGATATACAAGCAATATTTAAGAATACTACTTGTTCTGTACTATTCCTTTAGAATACTTTAGTATACTACTACTCAAGTTACTTTTACCATTAATACTACAAAAATTAACTTTTAGACCCTGTGAAATTTTTTCTTTCTACCCTAGAAATATACAACACTTCAAAGACTATATTCATATATTAAGACAAGAATATGCTTTTAAAATATTATACAATGATTATCTTATTAACAAAAGATAACTCTCTGCTAATCCTATATCACTACTTCTCTCAGAGCAGTTCTCCTTTCTGATAGAAGATGCTGATACAGTTAAACAATTCTTAAATACTATTTCTCATCACTATATTATATCTAATCCTCTTCTATTAGCATATACTACAATTAACTATACAGATAAGCCAGATCTTCTACAAGAACCTGAACTAATCACTGAAGTGAACTTCACTTTACCTATCTCTACTTCCAAAGAGTTAGTAATTACAGCAAGAGCATTTCGTGAATTTTATCATTTCTATGCAATACTATCTACATAGATAAATATACCTAAGAAACCTTCTAACTCACTTGTAGCTGACAAGCAAATATCTGATTCTAATAATAAAATAAACACTTTTATTTCTACTAAAGATCTACAATCTACTATTCACTTCCTATTAACTAATTAAGAAAATATTCTAGTAGTAATCCAATTGCTTCAACAATACTTTGAGTTTAACAATCTACTAAACTTTATATTCAGTATTCAAGACCTTTCTCCTTCTCAATGAGACCTCTTTGATAACCAATCTACAGATAATACTAACATACCTATAAGCTCTATAGTAGTAGATGTAAGAAAATTTTTCTTATATAAGTAACTCAATATACAACTTAAACCAGATCACATACAACAAAAATACATCTAACTACAATAATATTATTACTAATATTTTACTAGAGAAAATAAGAATTGTTACACATAAAATTCATAGATTAAATAACTCAACCAAACTATAACAATAGATTTCTTATTATGCAGAAGAAAACCTATATATTGTTTCAATTATAGAAACTAAACTAAAACAATCTGACTAATCTTTTACAAATCCTCTATACAGAATCTTTACATCTAATCACATTTCTACATCAATACAAAGTAGAGAAGCAAGTCTTAGTACAGCTTTAATAGTCTATAACTCTATTTAGAGCTATATTTATAATATTAGAACATACTTAAGAATAGCAATCTACTTAGATTTGTTTTTCTCAAGCAATAATAAATGCTACATTATATCAGTATATTTACTATCTAATCATTCAGAGCTTCTTACTTATATATAATGACAAATCAATTTATAGACATTAGAAGCAAAACAAAAAAACTAGTATACTATAATATTTGAAGATTTTAACTTATATATCTGATCAAACAAAAAATAATTCACTCTTTTAACTAATCTTTCTCATAATAACTATACCAGCTTCTTGCAATTTCACAACATAAATATTCCTATATAGCAAAATAACTGCTCTAGTTCATAAATTGATGATATCTAGGTTTTACCAAATATACTACTAGATTTTAACTCTCTAGATCTAATTAATGCAACTAGAATCTTTGATAGTGACTATTTAATTATACATACAACTTGGTATACAAACTTTTTACCTCCTGCTTTTAAGAAAAAAAGCAAGAAAAAAATAATATACTTATATGATAAAATGACAACAGAAAGCTAGAAGGACTTTAGAAACAAGGTAGATTCCTTAACTTAGCTCATGATACAAAATGCAGATATTATAGATATTAGTACTCTAAATAAACAATAGCATATATGGTCAGCAGCTATTAAAGAAGCAACTAATATATATATTCTATCTATGTTTAGAAGACCTAAACCTCAGTATGCACTATCTCTTAAAACCTCTAAGTTACAAACTATACTCAAACATATTAACAAATGTTTTCATAGCTTAGTTTTGACCTTACTACCTATAGATATCACATATTGGTTAATATTTTTCAACAAATATATCACAAAGGCAACAACACTATCAGGTATATCTATACCCCCTCTAACACCTATTTCAATTAGTTTACTAGTTAATCCTGATTCTCAAATCTCATATTACAAACAAACTATAAAAGTAATAAGAGCTCTAAATACAAATATATAGAAAAGTTGTAATACTGAAAGAAATCTAGAACAATCTGAACATATTCAATATTATGTTCAATGTCGTCAAACTGATTTCAAAAATAATACTACATGTATGATCAATAGTATTCTTAAAAAAATATGAACAATATTAACCTTGAGAAAATAACTTCATCAAATACTATTATTACAGACTATTAAGAAATAAAAGAAGCTACTCATCTGTACTTTCAAAACTAGACAAAGTTTAATTCACCAAATATAGAAGAATGGAAAAATTAGGAACTCTACTATACTCCAAAATCAAATATACAAAATAATATCTATATACTTCTAATAATCCTGATTACTATAGAGGAACTAATACTAGTAATTAATGCTATATTACTATATAAGACTACAGAACTATTGGGTATCTCAAATAAAATGCTACGACACTTATCATGAAAAACACTACTGCATCTACTTAAAATTCTAAATACCTATATACTTCTGGAAAGTGTACCAAATCAATAGTTAATATCAAATATTTGGTCTATCTTGAAAAAGACAATCTATAACTTTGATTTGAATCATACTCATCCAATTACCTTAATTAATCATACTCAAAAAGTTTTTACAAAGATACTTACTAAGAGACTCACTAATATTCTTA